CGTCGACACCTTTTTTGGTAAAAAAATTTTCCAGACATCACAATTGCTTTCGTAGCACTTTTCCCGATTTCCATATCACTTTTCCCGATGCTTCACCACAAAGATTCCGACAACATTGACAATTTTCCGACGGGTCTCAAGTTGAAGCTATCTAATCAAGGATTCCCTTTTCTTTGCTGCGTAGCGAGCGAGCCTGAAGCGAGCGAGCGTAGCAGCGTTCCAATTTGTGCAGAGAGGGGTAGTGTTGAAGTAAATTTTAGTTAGCCAATTGTATTGTGGTCGACATACAATATTTGAGGCGTATTTGAAGGATATCGTTTAAGTGAACATAACAAATTCTACAAGGTGATTGGTCAAATTTGACGTATTAAATCTGCTATATTCACCTACAGGTGATTATCGGGGAATATTCACCTCGGTGATTATCGGGGAATATTCACCTCGACTTCGTCTAGGCGAATATTTCCCGATATATAATCAATTAATTGTTTTGCTTGCTTCGACTTGTAAATTATTTTGACTCAGGCACTCGGCGTAAGGTTTAGTAAAGTGTTAAGCCCTGTAAAGGCAATAACTTAGTGTATAAAATAACATGACTGCATTTCGTGCGTTGTTCACTCAATGGACTTTGACCACTGTAAGTACTATATTTTAATTTATTATAAAGTTTTGGTTTCTTAGTTTAATACTGTGTATACAATGTAGTAAATGCGCCTATAGCAGTATTAGACTTGAGTAATATGAAATCAGATAGCAAAAACTTGTGTTATATAATTTAACTGTACGTCTTAATAAGAATGCTTTGTCGTTTGTATTTATACACGTACTATAAAGCAGCGCGTATTAAATTCAACAAATTCCACTTGATCTTGAAAATATTATATATTCTTGCTTATGATTTAGTGAATGTTACTTCCATAAACATTAACATTAACATATATTAACTTCAAAAACTCATTAATAATTCATGAAGCAATTATCCAATCTTGAGTAAGAAATTAGTCACGTGCATACGTCTTTATACCAGCTAAAGAACACTTTAACAAAAGACCATTGTTATGCAAACTATATAAAGATTTTTATATAAAGATTTTTATATAAAGATTTGACTTATTATGCAAACGTTTTTGAGGCCATTTAAAATACTCGCAGGTCGTGTTTTATTAGGTCTAAAGCCACTCGCGCTGCGCGCTCGTGGCTTTAAACCTAACAAAACACTCCTGCTCGTGTTTTAAATAGTACATTAACACGCCTATCTGTAATCTGTGATTGCTCTTGAACCCGTGCATGGTCTTGGCAACAAATTTATTGGCCATTGCTTTTTCTCAGATACTCATGGCATGAATCGATTCCGTATTCCTTAAGCTCCGACCACAGTGCTCACAAGTCGCCGGCTCGCTGCGAGTAATAACTGCATGCTTTATGTAATTTGTACTATTTTTAGTTCTATTTGCTGTTGATGCCCGCAACAATCCCTACCTTGCAGGTACCCTTACTAGTACAATACATTTTATCAGGGGGGGGAAATTTTGCCAGGGGGGGGGGGGGCGGGCCCTCCGGCCCCAGCCCTGGCTACGCCTCTGATGAGGAATCCCACATTAACTAATTAAGTGGCAATACGGATGCATCCTGAATTGAAGCAGTGCGCTGTAAAAGATCGGGGAAACGGAAATGGTATCATAGATACATATTTGTTTTCAAGTGTCTAAATTAAATAATCATACCTCATATGGAAATGAAATTCTAGTTAACAGAGAAATACACAAATGCAATACATTAAATAAGGACAATTTAAGGGGGAAAGCACAACCTCGTACCCAGGACATTTTGCTTCCGGTCAGCGAAAATGGCCCTGGTATCGGCTAGTCACATGACCTCAAAATCTCCAGTATTTGGGGTGCTCAATTATGATAATTTATGCGTATAAGTACGTATATAGAATAATTATATACATTGTAATTACTGACAGGAGTAATTTAGAGTAAACAAACTCAATGCTGCGTATATAATCAGAGAGAAAGCAACAAAATAAGTTGACTTTATTCGGTTTTCATTGTTCACACCTCATTCAGCAACATAGCCCGTAATATTGATGACTTTTAAACATAACTTGATGAATAACTAAACAAAACAAAATCGCTTCAGCATTTGGTTTATATAAATCGTGTTTAATATCAGCAAATGTATTCGTATGACAATCTTTATTTCACCATAACGCTGTACGTTTCTTGAAATCAACGATGTGTAAACAACGCATTTGAGAAATGTATGTTGAACCGAAGCAAATACTCGTCTATACAAAATGTACAAAGACTTAATTTGGACCAAATTGTTTTGTGATGTATTGTCTTTCCGTAATTCATGCTGTATCTCAAGCGAAATGTCAAAAATCTTATTTACTCAATACTTTAGTCTTTCAAGAACTAATTATAAATTTATCATTCCACTCTCGTTCCACCAAAATAATAATTATTCCCACATATATTGAATAATTACATTCAAAATCATTGACCAATCAGGTTGCAAAACAGACCAGCCGAAGGCAGGGCCTTTTTCGCTGACCAT